TTAATCTGGTTCATTGTGGGTGTCTATAAAATTGAATTTTTATATTACCAAGCATCCTTACGACGCGTTTCGGTCTTGCTTAAGGGCCACTCATCAGTTTTGTCATAACTATGATTTGCTTACAGTGATTGCTTATATATTGCTATTAAGTGTTTGCGATTATTGTTTGTAGATATTGTGTTGATTAGTCTATATCTAGAATATATGAAAGTATGAATTACGTCCGGTTTCAAAGTGAACATATATCAAATGCAAGAAAGAAAAAGGAAAAATAATGAAACATGAACTAGAAGATGGTGCCAGTTCACATGTTCAATGGTCAAATATCTGAGCTTAAATAATGAAAAATGTAACAAATGGTCGTATTCGACATGTTGCACGTATTTAAGAGAAAAATAAACAGAAAGAAAAAAACAATGTTTATCTAGTAACAAGATCTAATGATAATAACAGAACATCCTCTATTGAGAACAAAACTGAGAAAGAAGCGAACAAACAGAAAGGAAACACTTTTCACAATTGGGACGCCTGAAAGAAACAAATGTTAATGATTAAACCATTCTTTCATTGTTGTACGAGCTGCGTCTGTGATTGGTTGCATCCTGGCCAACATATCTCGTGGAAGCTATCTGCGTATCAAAAGACTTTGTAAAGTACGATTTAATATTGTACCAAGAATTGGTCGTGTATTTTTGAAATGTGATCCTGGATAAACAGAACTTTTGCCATATTTGATGAAATTCGTTTTTGAAATTTAATAATGGTCCATTTTCGAACGTGTAATGAAGATAAATTTGATCTTTATGTTCATAGTTTTTCGTTTTTCCAATTAATTGACCAAGACTCGAGATTTGTGTTTTGTTTTCTCTTTTTGTTGGTCTGTAAAGTAACATATTATGTAGTGGTTGATAGACTTCACTGTTTAATTCAGTCCATACACTCATAGAATCATATTTAACAAAGAATTTTTTTATATGATGTTGTATAAATTTTGGTCGATAATCGTAATTAGTAATATCATTTCTGTACTTAATCGTTCCATATCAAAATCTTCCATATTGGAACAGCTACGTGCAGCTTGCACTAATGCAGTATAAATTATATTTGCATGAATGTGTCTTGGATGATCAGATTCATAAGATAGAATATAGGGTTCTGAAGCTGATTTATGATAAATAGATATTTTTAAATCTTCATTATTATTTTCAATAGTAACATCAAGATATTCTAATGATTGACTGATAGTAATACTAATTTTAACATTTGAATCTGTTTTAATGGTTTCATCAAGTTCTTTCAGAATATCTTCTTTGGATAAATTAGTTGTCATAAATACGTCGTCAATATATCTATAAATATTTATGATTATTAGAGTAATAAAAAAAGTAACTAATAAATGCAAAATTAACCGTCCATAAATTTCATGATGTCTAGTTTGGTGTTGAATTAATTTTTGCTCCCATTCTAACATATAAATATTTGCTAAAACCATAGTAAATGGTGAACCCATTGCACCACCTTTAATTGATTAGATGCCTTATTTGAATTTCCGGACATTCCCATAGTTTCCTGTTCATCAAGATATAGAAGGTATAGGAATTGAGTTTTTCGAGCAAGGGTTGGCAAGTGACACCAATATATTTTATGAATAGATGTTTAAATTCAAATACTATCGAATGATCATCTGTACCAATTAATCAATACCTCCTCTATATCCATCAACAGAAAATGATACAAGCTACCGGAAATTCAAATAAGGCATCATATGCTTTAATTTGCCGATAATACTTATCTTTATAAGCAAATGAATTGGTATCTAAAACAACACATGCTAATTGAATCATAGTTTATATTTTGAGATTTCCAATTTTTCCATTTATTGAATAGTTTTTACGGAATCGAGTTAAAGCAGCAATAGCGCCATCATGTAGTATCATTGTGTATAAATCAGCAACATGAAAAGTTATAGATAATGTTGTTCAGGTGAGATCTATACCATTGATGAATGTAATATCTTTTGTCACATGATTATAAATTGGAGTAAGAAGTTGATCAAGAAAACTGGATATTTGTCTAGCAGGTGCATTAATTGAAGCAAGAATAGGTCAAACTGATAGTTCTGGCCATAAGAAACGTATGATACAAAAAATATTTAGATAACAAACTAACGGTTTTACCTTATGTACTTTAAGATTGAAATAAATATGAGCAAATTCTAATGTATTTAGATTTGGATATATTGGTTTATATTGATCTTTCGTTATTTTTTACGCTTTAATAGATCATCAAGTAAAGTTAACACAGAATGTAAATCATCTGCTAATGGATAAATGCCATTGGTGATTTCTTGATATGCGTTTGTTTTTGTCATATAACTTTTAATTTTTTCTTCATATTCATGTGGATCAATAAAGAAAAATAATTTGCTTTTATCAGTTTGTCAGACAGCAATATTAGCTTTGCATAATTGTCGTCGCATTGATTTTATCATCTTGTACATATATCAAGCATGTCTTTCAAGTTTTTTTGGTATTGGTTTCGTATATAGCTGTTGAAGTAAATTTTTTATTACAGCAAAATATTCAATAGCACGTGTATCACGCGTTGAAAACATGTAATCGGTAAAATTTTTAACATTTTCATTATAGAGGCGATTGTATGCTCGTTCAATAATTTTTTCCATACGTTGTCGATAAAAGAAATGCCTCTATTTCAAATTTATAAAATGTATTACAATCCGTCTCAGGTTTGATCTGATTCGCTATCAATATTGCCTAGCGGTCGTCTTTACCTAACTACAGGCCAACGGAGAGTTTAAATTTTAATGTTTCTAAAATGATAGAAATGAGATTAGAACAAGTAAATTAGCGAGTAGAAAGCAAGTGTACATACACCATTGAGCCACATGTGATCACATTAGTTGTAGAACGAA